GACAACATATGGTATGGGAACAGAATATGGCAGCAGCAGAAGGAGGATGCCACTGGAAATTTACTAAAGAGATGCTTTTGTAATATCTGGACCAGGAAGAATCCCCAAAATGAGATCCTCCCTTACAAAGTTAGAGAGATGAAAGGACTGAGAAAAAAATAGGTCCCATAATACTTTGACATGGGACTCAAAGTAAGCTATACTTCACGGATGTCCTTATGAATGCCGGTTTAGTCACACTGAGTCCCTGTGAATATATGGCCTGATGACTGCTCTTGACCTAGGCTGGAGAGAGACAAGCTTCAGTTTCTAGTTTCTAGAAACATACCTCTATTTTATATGTTGTCTTTCTGACAGTCATAGTAGGTGGAACGCAGTGAAAGTTGGATTAGAGACTTCTAAAGTCTCTTCCAGTCCTGATTTTCTATGATTCTATAATAGGTAATTTACTTGCTTCCTGATTCTTAGTACGGTACTTTTGTCCATTACAGCAGGCTGCCTTCCTGCCTTCCCTCTTTTGGAGGCACTTAAATGGTACAAGGGAGGACATTTTGGAAAGATTGAATTAGTCAAAAGTTTGAGCAAAGTCCAAGTTTCTGTCTGATTCCAGAGGGAGGAGAAAAGCCCTTTCTGAAGCTCATTTATGTAAAGAGAAATAGAGACTGTGTTCTGGGGCAGGCCACAGAATCAAAGAATACCCTTAACACATTTCTGCAGAGATCAGTCCTTTAGGATTTCAAAGTTCCATGATTTTATCCCTGGGGATACTCCCTCCACTTGATCAGATATCATCCTCCTTTACCTTGTAGACCAATTTTATAAATTTCCGTGGTTGAAAAAAATACCCATCACCTGGGTATTTTTATGATAGAAATAGGTAAATTTATGATGATAAACATCTCCTAAATTAGCTAGGTTGGTTTTCAAACATAAAAAAACAGTAGCTCCCGTTAATGTGGCACCTTGATCTTTGAAAAGCACTTTCCTCAAAGCAACTCTGTGAGGTAGGTAATATAAGCACCGTTTTCCCTCCTTCACACCTCCCTCCCCACTCCAGTCTCAAGGTAAAGAAATTGATGCCTCCAAAGTGGAGGTGATTTGCTAAAGGTCACATAGCTAATTAGTATCAGAGGTAAGGTGAGTTCCAAGGTCATCTAACTCCAGACCTAGCATTCTTTCTCCTACTCCACCAGACCTCTCCACATCACCAAAGTGTAAACTGTCTCAAACAGGTAAAACTGGGACCTTTGTTTGGCAGTACGATGAAGTAATGGAGTCTGGCTAGCACACTGCATTTCAACTAATATGTTTGCTTAAACATATTGTTTTGGCTTGAGGGTAGAATTCATGGAGGGGAATAGCAAAGAAGACTGGAAAGGTAGAAAGTAACCAGACAGTGAAGGATGCTAAGTGCCAGGCTGAGGAGGTTGTATTTTGCCCTAAAAATAATGGGGAACCTCTCAGTAGGTTTTTGAGTAGGAGAATCACATGGTCACAGTTGTGCCTTAGAGAGATTCTGTCGGCTGTTGTGTGAAGAACGGTTTGGAGAAGGAATATAATGGAATCCTACTGTGCTGTAAGAAATGAACATGATAACAGTTTTAGAAAAAACCTAGGAAACATGGTATGAACTAAAACAGAGGGAGCAGAGCCAGGAGAACAATTTGTACTGCAACAGTGTTGTCAAACTGAACAACTCAGAAAGACCTAAGACCTCTGATCAATGCAATGTCCAACTATGATTCTAGGGGACCGATGAGGAATCATACTACTCACCTCCTGACAGAGAGATGTAAACTCAAGATGCAGAATGAGGTAAATTCCTTCATTGTCATCTCCAAAAACTAGTTTCTTATTCTGTATATCAAGACTATTCATTGTCAGAAGGTGAGTACCATTCTTAATCACAAGTCCTTTGGAATCAAAGGACTTACCAGAATTTTTCAAAGAATCTTTCAGAATAGTTCATTTTTAAATGTTACAGTATAGATACAAGGTTTTCTTTTTCTTTTCTTTTCTTTTTTCATTGTGAGGGGAAGGAGGTAGGAGGGAGAGAAGATTGCTCATTAATTGAAAAATAAATTAAAAGCAAGGTAAATTAAAGAGATTTAACTAAAAAAAAGAAAGAATGGATTGGGGAATGGGCAGACTGAAGGCGGGGAGACAAATTAGGAGGGAGTCAACTAATAAGCATTTATTAAGGGTTTACTATGTGCCAGGCATTGTGCCAAGCGTGGTGATACAAGAAAAGCTAAGCAAAGAAACAGAATGGGTGCCAGCGCATAAGGAGGTCTTACTCTGGGAAAGCTATAATCTGTGTCTAGAGAACAGATGGAAGGTAATCTCTGAGAGAAGGCACTAGTAGCTAAGAAGGACCAAGGAAAGTCTCCTACAGTTTGAGTCTTTAAGGGAAAGACTCTTAGGAAAAGACAGGGATGCTGAGAGGCCAGGTGAGGAAGAAGAGCATTCCTGCTATGAGGGATAGCCAGTGAGTTAAGGATGAAGTGAACAAGGAAAGACTGGAGGCAGGGACACCAAGTAGAAGACCACTGCAATAGCCCAGACATGAGATGAACAGGGAGTGAAGAGGGATGGAAGAGGTGGTCAGCCCAAGGAGCCTCCACTTCCTCTCCTCTCACTCAGTTCTCAACCCTGTAAAACCTAGCTTCTGATTTCATCATTCAACTGAAACTGCTCTCTCCAAAGTTACCAATGATCTCTTTGTCATTGGAATTGTTAAGTACAAACCACTATGTGCAGGAGTGAGCTGGAATCAGTTTGAACTGGCTCCAGAGAGCTGATTATTAAATGTTTAGGGTGATTACTTACACCTTGGAAATAACAAAGGCTACAAATCAGGGCTTTTTTTTTTGATTTTTTGGATCTTCAACTTAAGAAAGTGTTAATATTCTGATTAAACTTAAAAGTATGCCCTGTATATTTTTTTCAATTGAGATGGTTGTTAAATATTTACCAATACACCTCTGACTATGTGTCTTGGTGTTGCAGCAAAGATTTTTTTTTCCTGGAAAGAACCTTGGATTATTTTGATTGGTGCCCTGTTTTCTGTGTTCAGATATGCTGGGCACTTTTCTTCTATTATTTCTTGTATTATGGTGCTCAGGTTTTTTGACTTGTCATGTTCTTCTGAAAAGCCTATAATCTTTAAGTTCTACCTATATATCCTGTCTTCAAGATCAACGTGTTTTGCTTGATGGAAGTCACATTTTCTTTTAACATTTTTCCTTCTAGAGACTGTATATTTATGTTCCCAATCAGTTATTTTCTCTTTTGTTCCTTTGTTGAGGCTTGCCACCATGGATTAAAACTTTGTTTTGCTTTTTTATTTTGCCAATTATTTCTGCTGTGCAGGTCATAAATTCTATTTTCACAATTCTTATTTTCTTTTAAATTGTTAAGAAATATCCTGTTGCAATTTCATGCTCCCTTGGTAATCCACAATTTTCTTTGCCTCATTAGGTGTTGATTCATTTTTCTTTGTCTTGTAATATTTATTCACAAATGCCTGGGGTTCTTTAGCTGATGATAATCTGAAGGTCATACTCCATTCTATTATTAATATTTTCCTTGTTCGCTCATTTGCTCCTGCCCAAGGTCTTTAAGACATGAATTTTCTTCTTCCTGAAATTGTTGGCAATTTCAGTCTTTTCTTCTTATTTTCCTCTATTGCTAATTTTCTGATTCCTTCCCCTCTAATTGTGGTTTTCCTGGGAGCTGGACCTCTAAACTATCTCAGCTCATTTGCATGCTAGCATTTCATATTTCACTAGCCTCAGTGTCTATTCCAAGTGATGTCTAGGGGGACAGAACTGACCCCAACTAGATGCTGGGCTCTTTTCCTCAGGCTTAAATGGAGGGTCAAACTGCCCCAGTTCCCTCTATTTCTCAGTTCTTTAACTGAGCCCTGTTAACAGAACCAAGCGCTGACAAGCTGTTGTCGTAGCCAGAGGAAGTTTCTGTCTTTTGGTTTTTCCTGTCACTAGGTGGAAAGAGTGGCAGTGTTCTGTTCTGTTGTGTGATGTTTAAAAAGTTTGAGAGGGGCAACTAGGTGGCCCAGTGGATAGAGCACCGGCCCTGGATTCAGGAGGACCTGAGTTCAAATCCAGCCTCAGACCAGACACTTGACACTTACTAGCTGTGTGACCCTGGGCAAGTCACTTAACCCCATTGCCCAGCCAAAAAAAAAAGCTTGAGAGGCATAATTTCTGGGTAACTAATCATTTTATTAATAATGCTAACATACTATTAATGAAAGAACTCAGTGGCACTCTCACGTGCTGAAGACCATCATGGCGGCAAGTTTACAGCTTATATGCCTTTGGAAAAGTGGATGTTCCTGAGGGTGGCAATCAACTCTTATTGGTTAACAATTAATGAGAGAATGAATATTACAATGAGAGGCTGGACCTATTCTAACTTTGATTATGTTATTTACTTCTAAATTGCCCAGCCTCAGGCAATCTATTAAAAGAATTTATCCCCACCCAAACCTGAGTAGAGCACAATGGCTTCCCTATCTTAAATTAAATTCCTTGTAAGGCTGGGTGAGGTCTGACTAGACTGAGGAAAAAGTTAATTTAACCTTCAGACATTGAGCTTCCCAAAGGAGGACTTTAGAAGAAAGGGGGAACTCTGGATCTTCACAAATCATTGGTTATTAATAATCACTTCTCTCAGTTGCAAGTATGGTGGGTGGGGGGAGAGGGTATTGAGTGAGCTAGTTAAGAGTTGAGGATTATCCTTCTCTGCTGTGAGTTTATTGAATTGTTATCTTGTTAGGGTTCCTGGTATCCTTGTCTAAGGAGACATATGAAATTGCTTTATCTCTTACACCCAGCTCTCCTATCTGAGAGGTTGTGAAGATTGGAGAAAGTGTCTAGTCATTTTTCACCTGGCTGTATCACACTATCATGTCCCAGGTACCTCATCATTGGGAAATCTCATCATCCTTCAGGGTCAACCAGCCTTGGTACTCATACCTTATCAGTATCCTTTGCTCCTCTGCTCCTCTGATTTGGAGAGTGGATCCATGAAGTCTAAAACCTCCATTTGAGGAGGGGATCTAGGTCAGTCATCTCTTTACTCCCCATCCGGCTGCAGTCTTTTGGAGAACATCATGTCCCAGCATTGAGTGCTTTCTGTCCTCCCCTGCTCCTTTCAGCTTCCTTTTGTGTATTGTCTTTCCCCATTAAGTAGTGAGCTCCTTGAGGGTAGGGATTGTCTTTCTTTTTCATATTTGCATTTGTATCCTCAGTACAGTGCCTGGCACATAGTAGGAGCTTAATAAATATTTGTTGACTGAATACCTAATTGTCAACTTAATGTCCTTCTCTCAATTCTCATCCTTTTTGACCTATCTGCAGCACTTCTCTTTAGGCTTCTGTGACACTGTTTTCTCCTGATTCTTTTTCTACCTATCTGACCACTTTTTCCAATCCACTTTGCTGGATCTTCAACCACGTCACACCCAATAACCATGAGTATCCACCAAGGTTCTGTCCTGGACTCCCTTCTCTTCTCCCTCTGAAGATCTCATTTGGTGATCTCATCACCTCCCACGGGATCAGTTTTCATCTCTATGCAAATGATCCCCAAATCTATATATCCAGCCTTAATCTCTCTTCTGAGCTCCAGTCCCAAATCACCAATTGTCTTTTAGGTATCTCAAACTGGATGTCCCATAGGCATCACATCCAAAACAAAACTCATTGTCTTTTCTCTTCCCAACTCCCTTATTACTGCCTAGGGTATTACCATCCTTCCATTTTTCCAAACTCACAATTTCAGTGTCATTCTTAAGTCAATCTTCACTTGTAGTCATCTTACATATATATACTACATCATCAAATCTTGTCACTTCTACCTTCACAATCACAAACATCCCCTTCTCTCCTCTGACACAGCTACCACCCCTCTGCAGGTCTGCATCACTGTCATGCCTTTGTTCTCCTGTTGTTGTTCAGTCATGTCTGACTCTTTGTGACCCCATTTGGGGTTTTCTTGGCAGAGATACCGAAGTGCTTTGCCATTCCCTTCTCTAGTTCATTTTACAGACGAGAAAGCTGAGGCAAACAGGGTGAAGTGATTTACCCAGGGTCACACTTTAATATATTTGCCAGGAAAACCCCAAACGGGGTCATGAAGAGTCGAACACTGAAATGACTCAACAACAACAACAACAACAACAACAGAATTCGCTATTCTACCTAGGTGCTTCACTTGACAACTAATTGCTTTGGAGGAGGGAGAGGAAGGTAGGAGGGAAAGGGCATAGATCACCATAAAGTCTGAGGTTTGAACCTGGGTGACTGAGGAGACTGTGTTACTCTGATAAGAAAATACATGAGTCATTGGTTTGCCCAAGAATATGTGTGTGAAACCCAAGGAGGAAACACAAAAGGGGAAGGAATCAATCTAAAATGAAATTAATGCAAGCTGAGCTGTATTAGCAGAAATTTAATGTCCCCCATGAGGACGGAAGTGTTGTAATGACAGAATTTTGTAAATAAAAAGAGCTAAAGATGAAAAATTTGTTTGTATTTAATCTCAGGACCATAGATTTAGAGTTGGAAGGGACCTGTGAGTTTTTTTAAGGCCAACCCCTTCTTTTTGTGGATAAGAAAACTGAGGCCCAGAGTTAACCTCTGGTAAGTAACTTAACCTGTTACTTACCAAGAACAGACAGCTATTCTGAGTGTCTGAGGAGAAATGCAAATGTACATCTTCCTGATTCCAAGTCCAGTGTTCTGTCTCCTAATTATGAGGCCTCCCTTAACCAGGAAAGGCTGCTCTGGTTTGAGATGACAAAGCACAATTCTTTACCTAGAAACATCCACAGAGTGAAACTGTGACATTTAATTTCTAGAGATAGTTTCTGGGTAATTTAAACATTTTATTAATAAGGCCAGTATGTTTATTAATAAAAGGATGATCATTTGACTGTCTCTCCTGGACCAAAGACCCCTCATGGTGGTGGGCTCATGGTTTATATGCCCTTGGAAGAGTAAGTCTTTCTGAAGATAGTAATCAACTCTGGTTAATAATTAATGAGAAAATGAATATTACAATGAGAGGGTGGGCTATACTACAGTAAGGTTCTTTGGATATGTGAAACGGATCACTTAAATTTTGGTCAAAAAGACTTAACAATTTCCACATCGCCTGTTTGACCAAAGAGGGAATTAACACTTTCTCAGATCTGTCTGAGTAAACACAATGAACAGCAATGCACCCATTAGCCTAAAAATAGAATTTCTTTTACAATCTGATTAAATCTTTGAGAGAGATTTCCCACACCGGTTGATTTCTGAATGAGGAAGTAGAAAAGGAGAAAAACCTTGGTTCTGACCAAATAATTAATTATTAATACAAGAGAGAAATAATCATTTCTCACAGATCTAATAAGATAATAACTGTAAAGCACTTAGCAAAGTGCCTGACACATAGTAGGTGGCTAATCAATGCTTGTTCTCGCCAACCCCTCTGCCCCACCATCACCCAGACCAATTCATCAAGTGTGATGACCATTTTCCCCTTTTACACATTCAGCTGCTCCCTTTGCTATGAGAGGATTTCCCATCCCTGGAGGTCTGTAAGCAGAGGATGTTGGATGACCATCACCAGGTATATTATAGTGGAGAATCCTTTCATGTATGGATTGGACTAGATGGGTGCTTAAATGCCTTCTGAATCTCAGATTTTGTGATTCTGAATTCACTATGTAGCCTCCCGACCCTGCAGTTTTGCCTTCTAGGTAGACCGAAGCCTGAGTAGAGACTGCCCCATGCAGGTGACAGGGAATGGTTCTCATGTTGGCTACACATCCCACTGTAGGCAAAAAAAACAAACCATGAATGTTCTGGCTTACAAATCCATCTCATGCCCCAGCCACCACATTAGCCCCTTACCTCTCAAAGGAGGTAACGTAAAGTGCTCTGTGAATATATATCTTTTTTATTGTTCTTGTTCATGTATTATAACTGAGAGGAACTCTTGGTGAAAAAACTCCCTCACCTGATGGAGCCTGGCAATGGCTTCTCATCTTATGGCCTTAGAAAATTGTCTGGGGCCTTGAGAGGTTAAGCGACTTGCCCAGGGTTACATGGTCAGTATATGTCAGAGGTAGGACTTGAACCCAGACCTAGGGCAAGGTCCTGGTCACTCCACCCTCATTCCTGTTCTGATTGAAGTGAATTCATGTAAAATTTGGTTTCTGCCTTAGTAATTAGTCAGGAAAGTGATTGCAAGAACTCAGTTTACATTTAAAAGGTATTTCCAACTCCCACATTTTACTGAATGAGAAAACTGAAGGCCAGAGAGATAAGTGACTTGTGCAGTAAATATTTAAAGCAGGATTCAAACCCAGGTCTTCCTTCCTCTTAGTCCAGTAATGCGTCAACTACACCTCTCTGCCTTTCTTCCTGTGGTACAGCTTAATGACAGTGTTAAATAGTCATAATAATAAAATTGGCCATTGGCATGGGAGGCTAAGTGAGCTAATCTCAGAGTCATGAAATTTTGTTGTTGTTCAGTTGTGTCTGTGTGTCTCCATGATCCAATTTTGGGATGTTTTTTGGCAAAGATACTGGAGTAGCTTGCCATTTCCTTTTCCAGCTCTGTTTACAGAAGAGGAAACTGAGGCAAATAGGGGTAAATGACTTGCCCAGGGTCACACAGCTAGTAAGTGTCTGCGGCCAGATTTGAACTCAGGAAGATGAGTCTTCCTGACTCCAGGCCTGGTGCTCTATCCACTTCACCACCTATCTACCCCCATAGCTGCTTGTCACATAGTAGGTACTTAATAAATGATTATTCTCTTTTCTTTTCCCCATCCCCTCATGGCCTTGTTATCAGTCTGTCATCTGACTATTTTCAAGCCTCCTCTCCCCCAATAGCTCTCCCTGGCTGTGCCCCAACATAATTTGTCTTTTAAAAGTTTATTTGAGGACATTTTTCATACTATTTGATTTGGGTAGGTTTTGTGAATCTTTCGGGACTTATATTTTGTGGGATTTGTCCCACGTGTGAAAAATGATATTTATGGCCCTGATTTCAATAAAACTGAACAGATCTTTATTAAATACCTTGTGTGTAAAAGGCCCTGTGCTAGCCTGTAGGGATATAGAGGTAGAAAAATAATGCTAAGTGCAGGAGACTGAGGGCTTTATAGGGGGACTAGAAGCCCCAAAGTTAGCCCTATTATGGGCATTAGATGGGCATTAGAAATGACCACATTTCCATCTTTCTCTTATACATATCCACCTGTGTGTTCTTGCTTTGCCTCATATTCAACATGACTAAAATCGAACCTCCAACCCCCTCCCCCAGCTTTTCCTCCTGACTATCCTATTTTTGATCATTGTACACCAGCTCTTCCATTAGACTAAGCTTGAAGCTATGGGGTGGATCATTGCTGACTCTGGCCTTCTCACCCTCATTATGAGCAATGGTCAAAAAAGGAATGGCCCAGTTGAGATTAACATTCTCCAAAATGAATGATCCTGAAGGGTAATTGGCAGGCATGTTACTAGGAGAGCAAGGTGCTACCAGAACACACTCTAAAATGTAATCGATGTAAGACAAACATCTATGGTGGTAATTTTAGCATGTTGTGAAAGCATGTTGAGGAAGAAGGGAAATATTGTAATGACAAGAACAGATAGAAATCTCCAATAGGATCATTGGACCTTAGAGAGTTCTGTCCTTTCATATTTATAGATAAGGGAATGAAGACTGAGAGATGTAAGATGACTATTTCGTAGATGCTTGAGTCAGATTGAACCAGTTCTGGAGAGGTGATCGTTAAATTCTCAGTGTGAGTATTGTTTATACCTTGGAAATTGGGAAAAAAAAGGCTTTGTTCATCATTTTGTTGATTACCTAGACTTAAGAAAGTGATGAATAAAATGTTAATAATGCAGATTAAATGTAAAGGAGTGTCATATGTACACTTTTTCCACCCTAGAAAGCCAGTTAAATATTTACAAGCACACTGCTGCATAGCGAGTAGGTAGAAGTGCCAGGACTTGAACACAGAACTTCTGGGAGGAAAAAATAATCCAGCGCTCTCTCCCTTGCCCCAAGATGTTTCTCAGTATAGGAACACTGTCAATAGCTTCACATAATGTTTAGGACTGGAATGATTTTAACTATCATTTAGTCCATCTAATTCATTTTAGAGATGAAGAAACTAAGACATAGCTTGTAAGGAATATTGGAAAAGGAGAAAGGGATAATCAGAAGTTATTAATATATTTCCAGTGCTTTCTAGGTGTTCTGACTTTCGGTGCGGGGTCCTTGTTTTGTTTTGTTTTGTTTTTAAACAGCAATATTCCTTGAGTGGAGAAGGATGTTTCATTAAATTATCAAACCTTGATAAATAAGTTATTAAACATATTCAGATCCTCTGATTTATTTTTGCATTTATTAAACAACCTTTTGTTTTGTAATTTGGTTTCCTGGGTGAATGTGCTGGGCCAGAAAGGAAAGGCCCAGTGTAGGTGACTCAACTGCCTTTCATAATGAAAACCCAAATCAGTAATTAGATGGCTTCACTTTTGTGTATGCTCAGGGTGCAGTTTTGAACTTAGGGAAAGAATTGCCCTATGGACCCATATGGAAGAACAAGTTGGGTGTGGGTCCAATTATCACTGAGGGGTCAGAAGAACTTCACATTTTCATAATTGCTGGCATCATCTTGACTTCTTTCTTCAGCCTTGGCTTTTTCTGAATCTCCAGGTTGCTATTTCTTCACCTGAGCATAGACAGCTGAGGAGTCCTGGAAGGGAAAATACTAGGGTGAGGATGTGGGGGAGGGAGAGAAGGGGCAAGGGAGAGAATAGCTAGGGAATGTGACTCACCTTGTCCTCGGGAGGGTTCTTTGCGTTGTTTGCTGTGGAAAGAAGGGAAGTTTTGAGTTGTGGGTAATGACTTTCCCACTTAGAGCCCATGGTTAGCTCTTTCACTGTATTCTTCCCTTTGGTCACTTGTGTCTTTCTCTACAGCTCTGTTCCTTTCTTCCATGCTAATCCTTATTCAGTTGGACTCACCATTTTGCTTTGTCCATCCCTTAATCCCGCCGTTTGCCAAGTTTCTCAAGAGTCCTGTTGATATGTAGTCTTCCCCAATGTCAGAAGGACAAAGATGCTTACAGGCTACAACTTCTAGTTCGTGTGATCACGGCAATTTCCTGACAAAGGGTCTCTCTGTTCGGTCCTTGAAGGCACAGACTGTCTTTGCTTGTGATTTGAATATTGAATACTTAGCCCAGTGCTTGGCAAATAGTGTTTAATAAATGCTTTTTCATTAGTTTTTATTTTTTCATTCATTTCTCTCAGCCAACTCTTAGCCCTCTGCTGTCTGTCCTTCCTTCTCCAGTGTCCTAGAAGGGGATCTGCGGTGAGAGGGAAGGGCTAAGTGATTCTTTTCACTATGCATATGAAAATTTGGATTATCAGAAGAGAGAAGACAGACCACAAGTAACACGGCAATTACACACAGAGACAAACAGGAAAGAGGACTCACTCAGAGATGCCTCAATGTTTCCCTGTCCTTTATCCAGAGGAACCTGGAGTGCTTAAGATCTCCTTGCCAACCCCACTCTAGTGCTCCAAGTCTCTAGCAATTAGGGCCTAGAATGCCACCAATTCACCCAGAATACAGTGATGACTAACCCCTGTTTTGTACTCTTGTACAAAAATATAAACTTGTAAAAAAACAAGTGCACTGGAGAGTGCTACCTCATGTAGAGTGGGCAGAGAAATGTCTGTAGGGGTTTCCCTAAAAGACTGTGAATATCTAGGAAAGACATGACAGAAGGAGGGCCAGAGAAGTCTGAGTCACTCACAGCAAGAAGATCTCACTCACTTCTTGATTCTTTTCCTAGATTCTTCCTCCTTCTATTTACCTTCTCCTGTGAAACAACCCTGGAGGGACTTCTGACATGAGTAAGGTCCTCTCTCCCAATTGGTGAATTCTTCACCATTTTGGGAAGAGTCCCATGTCTTCCTTCCTTCCTTCATTCCTTCCTTCTTTCCTTCCTTCCTTCCTTCCTTTCTTCCTTCCTTCCTTCCTTCCTTCCTTCCTTCCTTCCTTCCTTCCTT